TTTACATGATTGTGGTTGAATTGTCGTTACGAAGACACGAAACAATTCTTTACATGAGTGTTGTTATAAAACCACGATAAATGTATTTACGTGATTTTGAGTGAATTGTTGTTATAAAGACGTAAAACGGTCATTTACACATTAAGATCAGACAAGTAGGTTATTGGCAAATCCCCAGAGCAATGTTGGAGTGAGTACCCAGTGTTGGAAAAGATCCCCAATAGGAAGGTGAAGAAAAATGAAGTTTGTACCTTTAGGATAAGAAAGTCTGGCTTCGATAGCAGGTCCCTCGTCCCCACAGTTGTATTTGTCACCGGGAAGACATCTTTTTCCACTACCTACAACCGCTTCAAAATTGGAATCAGCATTTTCAACTTTGTCTAACGAACGCACGCGGAGGATTTGGTGCCGTTCAGCGTCCGAGATGTAAAGATGGCCGTCCGTTGGACTCAAGGTGAGGTGATAATCATAAGACACTTCTGTAGTCCTTTAGAGTTAGTTAACGAGAAGATAGAAACATTAACATTATTTCCCGCCAGTGGGAGAAGAATTCTAAAAGTTAAAAATGTTCTCACAGAGGGAGAGCACGTTATATTAAAAAGATTTTGAAACATCACGATGACGTAACGATCCTTGTTTTCAAGTCCATTTCAAAAGGCTGCATCGTAAAGTTTTCATGTTCAATTCACACACCTCCTAAAAGTCATAGGACTTTTCAAAATTCATTATTTATAGCTTATTATTATTATTTGTACCTAATCCCTTACCTGTTTAACTCTACTAGAGAATTCATGCTAAAACCGGGATCTATCAGTTTCATTATTGTTATTATGATCTATTTATTATTCTTATCTTACCATGTTATTTGAATTTTCAGTTTCTTGCAAATAAATAAATAAGACCTCAGCGAAAATTTCAAACAGCGAGACATTAATCTTCTTTTACAGTGCAGAGGGTTGAATACGTTATATTTAAAGGATTTTGAATATGTAAATCAGCAAGACGAGTGTCAACCAAAGCAGTCTCGATGGTATGGATTGTATCAGAACTACATTTTTGACATTGTTTGGAGTTTCGTAGGTAATTTGGTGCCATAGAAAATTGGCTATTTTTGGAAAGGGTATGTTAAAGCTTTTTTTCGACTCAAAATATTAATAAACTCAGATTATAAAGATGTGTTCATATTCTAAATTTCGAATGCTCATGAGAAGGGCATTCTTTTTACTAATTGGCATTGAAAAACAAAGAAATATTGATCAAAATGGGGCATCAGAACCTTCTAGAAAGTAACCTCAATAAAACGTACCCCTGTCTTTTTAAGCGAAGTGCCGAGTCTTGCAACAGGTGAAAACCCGCGGACACATAGGTCAATGACAAAAGCTGTCCACGGGACTTAGGCAAGTAACGCAACATAATGAAAAAGGATATCTGTCCGAAAAAACGAAACAAGTCACGTGTACACAAGCTGCTTCTACAACATATCTATTCATTCGTCGCATTCCTCAGGCAGCTTGGGAATAAAACAAGCACTGACACAAAGCATACAGTCTTCTGTAGGATTACATTATTGAAAGCGCTAGGGACCTCATAGATTCGTTGGATTATAGAAGGGGCGCAGGTAAACCAAACAAACAAGAAGGTTATATTCCATAACCCAAACAAACAAGAAGGTTATATTCCATAACCCAAAGATTTATCCTCAGAAACACAAGTTATATAACCAATGTATATTTCTACTACTTTAAAGACCATGGAATGCTTACGTTCGTATAACCTATCAAAAATGTATTTATAATAGTGAATCTTATGGAATGCTTACGTTCTTATAACCTATCAAAAATATATTTATAATAGTGAATCTTATGGAATGCTTACGTTCGTATAACCTATCATAACCTTATAACCCATATTTAGTAAGGTCACTCTGAAATCAGTTTCTTTTTATTTTACATTCAGTTATTAACCAAATGGTAAACATTTATATGTTTGTGACTTAGGTCTTCATTTTGAGTGTAAATTCATTCCCGTATATTCCTGTTTTATACAAAACGTTATCCAAAGAAGGACAGGAATACGTTTGATATGAAGCAGTTTTAAATCAAACAAGAAGGTTATATTCCATAAAAATAGATTTATAATAGTGAATCTTATAATTAGGGTTAATTATTCTTTTTATTGTTTTTACATAATTTTAAAATATAATTAGAATTATCTGCTCTATGTTGTTATTTTACTTAATTGAAAGATAATTATGGTTAATTATTCTTTTTTATTGTTTTTACATAATTTTTAAATCTAATTAGAATTATCTGCTCTGTGTTGTTATTTTACTTAATTGAAAGATAATTAGGGTTAATTATTCTTTTTATTGTTTTTACATAATTTTTAAATCTAATTAGAATTATCTGCTCTGTGTTGTTATTTTACTTAATTGAAAGATAATTAGGGTTAATTATTCTTTTTTATTGTTTTTACATAATTTTTAAATCCAATTAGAATTATCTGCTCTAAGTTATTTGTCGTTGTATTTTTTTACCTACTGATTTTCTTTTTTTAAGTTAATTATTATCATTCATTTTTTTAAATGAAACCAATTTTTGTATCTGTACATTGAATGTTGTCTTTTATAGAAAAAAAAAGACAATTACTACAATATTTATTCTTATAAAGACTTGAGTTATATCTTAACCTCAGAAAATATCTAAAAGATAATTGGTTATTTCAAATGCTGTAGAAGTAGAAGATAGAAACGCAAGCCATATGTAATCATAAATACTTTTCACTGTCCTCTCTATTTTTGTTTAATTTCTTAATCATAATACATCATTTCACAAATACAATACTGTTGTTGTTGTTTTATAAATTATCATTAATTTTTTTCCTAATGATAACTTTCTTACCTATATTTACTTTTCTAATTTTCCGAATGTGTTTATAACTTTTTTAAGTAGAAAAAATATGTTTTTAAAATTATTAATTATCTGTCCCTAAAATATAAAACTTCACATCTGCTAAACCTGTAACTGTGTTATGTTATATTTTCAATCAATCTTGGCTTGGAATTGTTTCATTATATTTTATTCAACAATTATGTTGATATTTTCGTATAATTAGTATTTTTTCGCTTAGTTTTCATTGGCTACAAATACATCACATGCCAAGAGGAGATATGGACAGCTCAAGCCATCACCATCAGAGGCTATGATATGGACGTCTCAGAACTTGGTGGATGGAATCTTGACATTCATCATCGCTATAACTTTCATGAAGGTCAGTACTTGACCTTCATCTCGTCACGTTTTTCGTTTCTATGTGTTTAAACAAACAATGACTCAGTTTATTTTATATCTAAATCGTGTTTATCATTATTTTCCTGTTGTTTTCTTCACACTAGGAATATAACAAAAATATGACGGTTTCGTGCTTCTAGTTTTTTCACACTAGGAGTGCTACAAAAAGATGACGGTTTCATATTTTTTCACACTAGGAGTGCTACAAAATGGTGACGGTTCCACAATCCATTTCCGCCAACAGCCAAGAGTCATATCTGTTCTGATGGGTGCTGGACAGCAGCGCCCTCTACTCTGTCCAGAATGTAATGGTATGGCTCGGGAAAACAAACTGTTAGCACCAGTAGCATTGACAAGTGGGCCAGATGGAAGTGTCTACGTGGGAGACTTTAACCTTGTTCGACGCATAACTCCACTGGGACAGGTGTACACAGTGCTTCGCATGAGGTTAATACCTTTTACCTTTGAAATAATTCCATTGTCTTAATGCTTACCTGACGTGATCATGTCACTAGTACCATTTACATACGTATAAGTTTAACTATCAGTTGAGTAGCCCTAAGAAACAGAATTGTTGTTAGAAAAACACGTGGGTTCAAGAAGTCTTGATAGAAATGAATAAAAACTTTATAACCCGAGAGCTTTTGAAAGGTGGGCCTTTATTCTTCAGGGGCAATCTGGAAATCTCAGGGGTTATCAGGTTTTTATTCATTTTTTTAAGAAACATAGTTGATTATTTGTCTAGCTTCTATAAATAAACCTTTCAGCTCTATAAACACATTTAAATTTTTCATTACTAAAGACAAATATCAAGGCTTATAAGAGTCGTCTATCGAGAGGTGAATACACGAAGTGTTTTCTTTAGATGACGTTTCGGTCTCTATGTTAAGACTTTTTTCAGGGTAGTCTTTTATACGAGAAAAAAAATGTTGATAAAAGAAAGTATAATACGTTAAGAAGTCCCCCCCCCCAATAAAATATTCCCAAGAAACATTATATATATCAACATGAAAAGAAAATTAATTTTGTTTTAGTGCGTTGTAATGTATCTTAATAACTAAAAATAGTGAATCGTATGGAATGCTTACGTTCCTATAACCTATCAAAAATATATTTATAATAGTGAATATTATGGAATGCTTACGTTCCGTATAACCTATCCAGCAGCCATGCCCAAGGTTACCTCTCTACCATTCATCTTCAGTTAACCCCTTCCAAAGTCCCGAATTCTCTGCGTCTTGTACTTCTGCGTATTGTTGTGGAGGGAATCCTATTTGAAAAGACTTTTGAAGCAGACCCAGATATCAAGTATACTTATGCTTGGAATAAAAGGAACATTTATAAACAGAAAGTTTATGGTCTGACGATAGCTAGAGGTAGATTTTCAAAAATGATTAGAGTTACTTGTTCTATGTTATTGTTTTTATCTAATTGTCAAATGTATTTATAACTGCCTGTTCTGTGTTATAGTTTTACTTAATTTGGAATATAGTAACTTCCTTTGTGTTAATGTTTTTATCTAATTCGAAAGACAATTAGCACTACTTAAATATCCCTGGTTCAGACTTGTATTTGATGTACCAATCTTCTCCTGAAGGACCTGCAATAATTCACTTTAATTAGTACTGTACTAACGCTG